ATATATATATATATATATATATATAATATATATAATATATATATAATGATTAATAATAATAATAATGAAAATAATGATAGGATATTATGATGATGATGATGATAATAATAATAATAATAATGATAATAATATCAATAATAATAATAATAAAATAACAATAATTTAATCATCATAATTAAAAAATCACAACGGTTATAATAGCTATAATAGCAGTAATAATGATGTCAATGATAGTGTTAACAATTATATATAACAAAAATATTGATGATAATGATGATAGTAATAGTAGTAGTAATAATGATTATAACTATCATCATCATTATCATTACCATCAGCAGCAGCAGCATTATTATCATGATCATCATCGTCATCATCCTAATTTTCAGCATCACTATCATTATCATCATAATATTAAAGATTGATAGAGATAATAGTAATGATAATAAAGACATATATAATAACCATAATGTTATAACAAAAAAATTGATATGATATTGATAATAATAAATAATATTGATAATAGTACTGATGATTATGATCATAAGAGTAATAATAATAATAATAATAATAATAATAATAATAATAATAATAATAATAATAATAATAATAATAATAATAATAATAATAATAATAATAATAATAATAATAATAATAATAATAATAATAATAATAATAATAATTAATAATAATAATGATCATAATTATAATAGTATAGTAGTAGTAGTATAATAATAATAATAATAATAATAATGATAATAATAATAATAATAATAATAATGATAATAATGTTAATAATAATTATGATAACAACAATACGATAACAATGATAATAATCATCATAAAAATAATAGCAGTAATAATGGTAATACTAGTGACAACAATAATGATCTTAATAACGATATATTGATATAGCGATTATGCGAATAAAATAGATAATAATAGCAATAATGATAAGGGTTGAACAGAGAAGCAAGATACACATTTCATCACTTTATTATACCATAAACAATAACAAAATGAGCTAACAAAAGATCTTATTTTAATATATCACAGATTTAACACATCTTAGGTCTAACCATGATCTATTCATCTAAACAATATATATATATTATCATTCATAATCATTATAAATATGAATTGATAGCGTTTTTGTGAGGTAAATGACTTTGTGGTATTGACTTCTTGATATCAAAATGAGATAATTGATAAATGAAAAAAACGAAATAGTTCAATTTTTAAAGAGAAAACGAGAAAGAAAAGAAAGTTGAAAAAAAATATTTGTACAAAGTAAAGGTGAATATAAAAATTATCAGTGATAAAAGATAGTAACTCAAAGAGAGAGAGAGAGAGAGAGAGAGAGAGAGAGAGAGAGAGAGAGAGAGAGAGAGAGAGAGAGAGAGAGAGAGAGAGAGAGAGAGAGAGAGAGAGAGAGAGAGAGAGAGAAATAATGAGAAAGAAAATATGAGAGAGAGAGAGTATAAATGCCATTTCCCAAGGATTTTTGGTTTTTACAAAGACATACAGTAATGTACGAGAGAGAGAGAAAAAAAAAACACATACTAGAATAATTGCATTAAAACATTGCATTGCGACAGACTAAGTAATCACAAACTTGCAACTTTCACAGGTTTTCGCGATATAAATATATACACATAAATATATATTAAATAGAATCTGTAGGTGACGCGGCGGCCTAGGTGTCCCTCTTGAGGAGCTCCGACAGGGCCACGATGTACGTCTGCGCCATCTGCAGCGTCTCGAACTTGGAGAGCTTCCTGTCGTTGCCGAGGGCGGGCACCACCTCCCGCAGGCGCTCGAAGGCGTTGTTGAGGCCGTTCATGCGGCGCCGCTCCCGCGCGTTGGCCTGGATCCGCCGCTTGCGCTTCACCTCGCCGTTCACGTGCTTCTGCTGCCGCCTGCGCATGCGGAGGGGCTTGCGCTCGAACAGGCCCTGGCTGTGCACCAGCGTCTCCGTCGCCGTCTCCAGCTTGTGCGGGCCGGCCGACGGCGGGAGCGGGGGCTGGCCGGCTGGGGGGCGCGCCGGCGGGGTGGGGGCCGCCCGTGCCGCTGGGCCAGAAGTTCTCGTAGCTGACGGGCGTGAAGGCGTCGGGCGTCGAGGGGCCGCCGACGGGCCCGCGAAGTCGCCCTTGGCCTGCGGGAAGGCGTCGCGCGCGCCCTCCGCCGCGAAGTAGCTCCTCGCGCCCTCGTAATAGCCGGGGTTGTAGGCGGGCAGCGGCGCGGGCGCGGAGAGGTCGGTGTACACGGGCGTGGGCGTGGCGTTGTGGGCGTAGTGGGCGTGGGCGGGACTGGAGGGCACCTCGACGCTGGCCGGGCTGGAGGTGGGCGTCTCGCAGCCGTCGCTGTAGGCGTCCAGGTACTCGCCTTGCCGCAGATCGCTGCCTACGATCTCGTTGAAGTCGTCGGAGCACAGGTCGCTGAAGGACGCGGGGTTCGTCCAGCGGTATAGTCTCGTGTCCAGCGCCATTCCGCTACGTCCTGC